TAGGTAGGGTTTTGGGGTGTAGGGTTGAGAGGATTTCGGGGTCGGGAGTTTCTTTGTTGAAGCTTCCTATGAGGATGTTATAGGGCGTTTGGCTTTTCGGATTCAGGGTATGGGGCTCGGGGTTTAGGAAACCCTAAACCCTAAACCCTAAACCCTTAAACCCTAAACCCTAAACCATTGGGCTTGAGGTTTGGGGGCTCGGTCAGGGCTTTGGGCTTAGAGTTTTAGCATTTTGTTTTTTGCGATGTTTGAACAACTAGGTATAACATGGTCCCTAGTACCTACTATAAAGGGGCCTAGGGGGTCTAGTACCCCCTATAATAGTAGGTACCTGGAGGATTAGGGTGGTGTTTTTGGGACATGGAGTTGGCAACCTGCTGCTTCATGATCACTACTTGGGGTTTAGGGTTTTAGGGTTTAGGGCTTAAAGGAGCAATTGAAGCCCTTGGCCAATTCCTAGAAAGCGTTGTAGAACCCTTTTAATAGAATGCTACAAACGACAGCCTACAGAACAAGATCCAACTCATTTACAACCCTCATACGATCTGTCCCAGATTTTCGGTGCTGTGAACATAGGTGCCGAATGTGGGATCCGCCTAGTGCCCATTTGCACACCATCACTATGGGTTCTGCTCTACATTATAAAGTCCCTTTTCAGGTCTGCCAAAGTACTGCACCCTTGAAAATAGGACCCTAAAAGGAGTCCTAAAAGGGACCCTAGTTTAGAGAACCACCGACGCCCGATGTGACATGTTGCGGCAATGCCCCTGTACGCAGGGCTCAAGTTCGCGCACCCTTGCGCGGGGTCGGACACGTGAGAAGAAGTGTCCCTGAGGGTCCATGTACCCAAATAGTAGAACATTGGCCTTAATGTAGTCCCTATAAGGGTACTTTAGGGCCAATGTTCCACTATTTGGGTACATGGACCCTTAGGGTGTCATCTACATGCTCTCGCACAGAAATTGCCTTTGCAGGGCCGGAAGATCAATCAAGATCCGTCGCTGCTCAGGCATCGCTGCTGAGGTTGATGCATGGGAGGAGCTTGGAATGCGAGTTAAAAGAGCTCAAGGGTTTTAGGGCTAATCTTGGGGTATTCATGTAAAATCAATACGGGGGTGCTTTAGCTAATGTTCAACCCCTCGGCCAGAAATATCCAGCAACTTTACAAACCCTCAATCCCCGACACGAAGCTTGACCGACAAGCCTCAAGCCTTTAACTCAAACCCGGAACACCCCCAGAAGCCTGAAGCCCTAGAGCAGCAAGTTCTCAAACCATTTAAACTATGACGATTACCAAAACGGAAGCTAGCACTACTAATATTTTTTAAGACTGACTGATTACCCTCACTACCCTTACGAGCAGAACATGACACAGACCCGAATCCCTGCTGGCCCCTGCAGAACCTGCCCTAAACCCCGCTCAATCCCCCTAAAGCCCCCTAAACCCTAGCCACCCTAAACCCGCCTAACCCTAAAATCCCCCTAAACCCTAAACCCCCCTAGACCCTGAACCCTAAACCCCCTAAACCCTAAATTACCCTAAACCCTAAACCCCCCCAAACCCTAAACCTGTCCTTCAGCCGCACCGCTGCCCTTCTTTGGAGCTCCTCCGAATCTAGGGGGCTCAGGGGTTTAGGAGCTCTAGGGGTTCGAGGTTTAGGGGTTTAGGGTTTAGGGGTTTTGGGTTTAGGGGTCTAGGGTTTAGGGGTTTCGGGTTGAGGGGTTTAAGGTTTAGGGTTTTTTTGGATTTAAGGTCTACAGTAGGGTTTAGGAGCTTAAGGTTTAGGGGTTTGGGGGTTTTGGGGCTTTCGGGGTTTAGGGGTGTCACGGCTTCAGAAGGTTGCGCAGAAACTCCAGGAACCCTTGGTTTTCCGAAGGGTCCGCGTACCTACATAGGGTTTAGGGTTTAGGGTTTAGGGTTTAGGGCTTAGGGTTTAGGCTTTAGGGTTTAAGCATAAACTTTGGCACTTAAGGGGTTCCTCCTGCTGCTGCTGTGCAGTGGCATGTCAGGGTATATGCTACGCAGGTATTCGGCCCCACTTCTGATTAAGGTCTGTAACTGACATCGCAGGAAGGACCTCTACAAACCGTCGTTGAAGGTATATGGGTAGTTCTCTCAATTAAATGTCCCTTGTTAGGGTCCTCTTCGTAAGGGTGTCGTACTATATTGGAGACCTAAACTGGGAGCCTGATTAAGAGAACCACCGATAGTGGGTTGATGTAGATGTGTTAGAGTCTCTCGCCTGTTCTGCGGCAGGGTTTATCCGATACTACCAGACAGGATCCCTACAGACTCTTTACTGGGGTGCATAACAGGACCCTGCAGACGACAGGCTATTGTAGCTTAGGTTAAAGGTAAGGTGCAGTGTAGCGGGATGTTTCATTACCGTGCACATCTCCAAGCCCGAACCCAATCTCGAGTCTGTCCGAAACCCGATGATGATGCAGCACCCAAAAGTCTACAACTCCATCCTCTCCGTTGTCTGGGATGTAAAGAGGGAGGTTGGGTGAAGGGCTGCAAGTTTTGCTAACCGAGCTCCCATCTGCAGGATCTGGTTCTCTGGCGCATCTCCGGGACGGTTCTCGATGCGCAGCAGCTAATAAGGTATACTATAGTCATTTGGTAGCAAATGCAGCACGAAAAGACCGCGAACCTATGCGACAATACACTGGACAGCCTGATCGTTGTGGTATTTCACACTATCGCGGCCCATCTAAGGGGACCACCCTAAATAGTAGGATCCTTATTACAAGGACCCCCCAAAATAAGGTACCCCAATGGTCGGAAACTCCCATTTCACATTATCGCGGCCCATCTAGATCCAATTAGTGCCTTGGCATACCCGTTTTATTCGGACCACACATACCGAACCTCTACCTGCAACCTTCTTCTGCTCTACTCACCACTCTCATCCCTGACCCCTAAACACACATTTCCTCTGTAACCCAAAAGAGTATACATATATACATTTATATATATATATATATATAAGCACCCTAAAGTCTACCCCCTAAACCCTACATAAACCTC